ATATTTTATAATTAATATAAAATTTTTGACAGTTTTTATATAAAATAGAAAACAAAATCTTGGTTTTGTTAGCCAACAAAATACAGTTAAATCTCTCTAAATGCAACTCATAAAAAGCAGACTTTGAAATTTATATTTAGAAAACAATAAGAAAATTGTGTTAATCTTTAGTATAGATGTGTATATAGAATTATTATAAATTATAATATATAATAATTAGCTATTTTGATCTAAATTAAGCAAATTATATATAGAGTAAGGATTAGAGTTTCTTATTTTGTGTTAGAGTTGGCCAGATGATGTGTAACTATGTAAGCAGTGCAGAGTAAGACTTTTGGACTAATTTCTGAACAATTCAGATAGTTTATAGCAGCTTACTTCCAGTTTATAGCTTATCCAAAAAATGTATATATATACTCGAAAGTTACTTCTGAATAATAGAATAGCAGACTAATAAATAAAATTAATCTGATATTAAAGTACCATATCCTTATAATAAAGCAGAGCTGGAGGATAAGTAGATCGCAAGTGCCAGATAATCCTTTTCTATAATGTGGGTGCCAATTAATCTATTGGTAATGTAGTGGTATTTTAGATTTGTTTACGATTTGCAATGCAATTACGTAATATTTATGCATAAAGATAATATATATATTTATATATATATATATCAGAAAAGATTCTATAGCAATACTTCATAGGCAGACATTCGTATGATTGGCTATTTAAATCAATTTAATTTTATGTGCATGTTATTCATAATTTTTATTTGAAAATAATTTTTGTGAGTAACATAAAAAAATTTAAAAATTTTGAAATAATTATGAATCCTGTTATTGATCGTGTACATACAGTTTATTTATTTTTTTTAAATAAATATGTTAATAATCTTGAAAACTCTTTACTCTGCAGTGATAATTGTTAATCCTGTTAATGCTTATCATATATGTACAGGATTTTTTTATATATATTAGTTGATATGATAATCAATATAAAGTTTTAACTTATGATTGTATATCTGCTATATTAAATGTTCATTTATTCTACTAATCGCTATAAATCTCGAAATAACAAGATTTTATCATGATTTCAGTTACTTGCAAATTATTTTATATACCCACATGTGTTATGTTAGACATGCGTGAGTGTAATTATAAAGCCTTTTTTTTAAAGAGTAAAACAGATAACGCCTATACCTTCATTTTAGGAATTTTAATGAGATCTGTTTTTTTTTATTAAGCACATAAAATATTTTGATATAAAAAGAGCATTTTAATACTAGTTATTACTAACAACTCTTTGTAAAAAATTTGTTGTTTAAAATTTATTGTTTAAATTTTTTGTATTAAACCAATATTCAAGACTATTATTATGTCTTGCTACGCAGATACTATAATTAAAATTAAACATACTAGACGAAATAAAAAAGATGATGCTAAAGCATATTCAGTGTGGGCTATTGAAATGTACCCATTAGGATGTGATGATAATGAAATAGAGGTAACTTTATTTTTACAAGTCAATCCAAATAATCAAAACCCAGAATCACAAACTATCTTTAAAAAAGATGAATACTACTCTGTCGGAAGAAAAATTATATCTGGATCCTATACTGGAAAAATTAAACCAAAAGTACTTAAATGCATTACTGTATTATTACCAAATAATACTCTAAGACATTATTCAGAGACATATAGTTTAAAGAGAATCAATAATTGATTTACTGAAAGCTTTTTTAAATTCCGATATTTCTTAGTATCATTTTTTTAAAAAAAAAGCTTTCTATTGAATCTATTGTTGATTCTCTTTAAATAATGTGTCTATAAATAACATCTTATAGCATTATTTTACAATGATACAATATATAAATTTTAAAAAATTTAAAATTAATACTTATTTAATATTTAGATGATTGCTACTACTTTGACTCATATGGCAATTGCTAATAAAATCTCTGATGCAAATAAATGTCCCTTGAAAGTCTTTTTGGTAGAGTTCCTCAGAAAATGCCGATTAAAATTAAAGACACAGAAGAATCTGTTATCGAAACACTTATATCAGACTATATTAGTCAACCCTATAATTACACTGTCAAGGTGGTCTTTCCACATGATAATTCCCAATTCAAACATTTTAAAACAACAATTCGCCCACAAGAATTAATAATTTTAATAGTTGGACAAATAGAAATTATAGCTAACGAATTATATGTCTATGCTAATGATATCAATTTTATCAATACTCATTTTATTACTAAAAAAAAGAAACTTCCTGATACTGAATTACCTTCAACTAATCCAATTCCAAATCCAACACGATATAAACTTCTTAATGTTCATTAAACTATAACTCAAAATTCAGAAATTGATCCTGAAAACAATTTTCTTTTATTGAAACGCAAATGATCTGATGAAAATGTTAAACCAGAAGACACTAATCCTACTACCAATGATAATATCGAAGATTGTCAATCAAATTCAGATAATTCTATTTATACAGATCAAAAATCCAAAACTAATAATGCAACTAAAGATTGTAACAAAAATAACATTTGTCTAACTCGAATTACACACAGTTATAAAAAAGCAACTGTAATTTCTGATAAAGAATAATTGTTACCCGATAGTCAGTAATACATATAGTATTATATTATTGAATTTCTTATGTTTTTTATACTTTATTTCTTTATTATTCTATTAAAATATTATTTATTTATCACTGTAAATATTAAAAAATTTGTAGGAATAATTATTGCTTTAAATTTTATATAAGTTCAAAAATCTTATCGTTACATATTTCAACCATAATTATCTCTAATATTATAAATTAGAAAGTTATCATAAAAATATACATAATGATATAATTAACTTAAAATCAAGTATAATACAAATAAAGAGCACTAAAATAAAAAATAAAAAAAACTTTTACTTGATTTTAAAAAAAATCGATAAAATATTTGTTTTCATTTACTAGACATTTAAAACTATACATAAATAAAAGATTCTATAATATTTGAAACCCACCAATTTACCAAAAATATAAATTCTACTATCTCCTAAACAATTATATAATTAATGCTAGATAGACAAAATGTGCATTTATATATATTACCAAAAATAGCATAGTGATCGCTAAAATATATATCTCCAGATTTTTATAGACAAACATTCATACAATTGGCTGTTTAAATCAATTTAATTTTTATAGTTTAAAGTACTTTTTTTAAAAAAAAGAAGACTATGAATAATAAACAAGAAAGAAGGATATAGAAAGTTTTAGTAGACTTCACTATCAAAAATAATCAAAATTCTTTTTTATTTTAGAGAAGTTAACATAGTGATAACCTAATTTTAGAAGTCATTATTATGCTAACTTTTCTAAAACAAAAAAGAATTTTAATTATTTTTAATAGTGAAGTTCTATGGCTTTAATAAACTTCTTTTTTGTTTATTCTTTGTAGTTTTCTTTTTTTTTGAAAAGTACTTTAAACTGTATAAATAATGTAAAATTAAATTGATTTAAACAGCCAATCATATAAATGTCTGCCTATGAATCTCCAGCTATAATATAGCACATAAATATTACCTGTTAAAATTAAAAATTTAACATATTAAATGATATACCAGGTAATATTTATTCTTAGTTTAACTGGTGTATGGTTATACTAATTTATCATACTTACTATATATATAAAATCTTATAATCATTTTTATGTTACAGTAAACTGGTATTACTTAAGCATGTTATTATTATTCAATTACTTACTATCCTCATGTACTAACTATATTTAGTTATTTAATTAATCTTAGCCTTTCCTGTATTCGTAATCACAACTTTACAATTAAAATATTATTTAATGACAATAAATTATGTAATTAATTTAAAATTATTAAATAAATATGTATAAAGAGTATATGATAACTCTAAATAGAATATCTAAGTCCCTAAAAAATTCTACAGTATTCGAAGAACGCCAATTTACTAAAACATATCACTCTTTGACAATTACATAAATCATTTACTGTATCACTATTTAAATATGGCATTTTACCGTATATTACCAAATATATTTTATTTATTAATTCACTGTATGATAATTATATAATGATTGGTGAAATGTCCTATCTGTAATACAAATAGTGCTCTGAATGGGTCAGATCAGGTTGAAAATTTCGGATTAGAGCTCAACCAGAACTGAACCCGGCTCGACCTAAACCTGCCCCGAAATTTCAAGCTAATATATTAAATTTTTTTTAAAAAAAATAAATTCAATCACCCTATTTGCTCTTAACCATTTAATAATTCATATAACAATGATCATTGAAGTTGGCTAATATTAGTTTTTTTTTATTAGTATTCTATAAATTTATGGAATTAATATAAAAAAAGTTTACTAATTTTGCTGTTGAGAAATTTG